GGGGGGAACCGCATGTAAATAACAAAATGTATAGAGAAATGGGGACACAGAACTTGTGTTCTTTAAGAAGGGTATTTGCTGAAAGCAGCGGAATGGAGTTGGGGTCCAAGATTGGGAATAACACTGTGGGTAGTAAGAGGAGGCCTCACAGGAGGACTGTTGCGAGTTTGAGACCAGTCCGGGCTACAAAGTGAGCTCAAGGCCAGCCTAGATTGCATAGCACAACCCTGTCTCAAAAAAAAAAAAAAAAAAAAAAAGACTAAAAAACAACAACAAAAAAAGAGGCAGCCTCAGCAGAATTAAAATAGTGCCAAGCATCTGCACTGGGGTCCCAGTGAGGCCTCAACTGTAGTAGCCGAGTTTTCTCCAACCCTGTCCAACAGGTGGCAGAAGAAAGGGACTGTCAGATTGATAGCAGCAGGTCTGGCAGCTGGCCGCTGAGGCTGAAGGGACAAGGGGTAAGGAAGGTGACATCTGCTGAGAGGTTCCAGGGATGGGGCCCAGGTCCAGATTGGAAGAGAAGAGAAAAGGGCACGAGGGGCTGAAAGACTGCAAGAAAAACAGTCGAGAGGCCAGAGCTGGAGGAGCTCGTGTTCTGGGAACAAAGGAGCCAGGGAAGAGAACACTGGAGTCTAGTTTTCAGAGGCAGATAGGTTCCAGGTGAATGCAGGGCATGACCACGTGACCTGGCTGCAGAATTACAGGGACGACCTTGAAACTGAGGTCAGGAAGGAAGGCCGAGGCAGAGTTCAGATCACCCATGCAAAACGCACACTGCTGAGCAGCGGCCAGACCCACTGAGTTGCATGTCAGGGGGGAGGGGTCAGGCGTCCTCTTCACAAGCTTCCCGAGAGGATCTTAGGCTCCCTAACACTTGAGAGCTGATGAGCTACACTGTTGTCCAGGCTTGTTGGAGTTACTTGGTGGCAGAAATAAGGCAGGAGGAGTAGAAACGGCAGGGTGACTCCTCAAAGTCTGGGCTGAGTCGGTGTCTGGACTGACTAGGCATAGTGAAGAAGAGTTTCCATACGGGCCAGGAAGAGCAGTCGAGCTGTATACATCCATTTCCAAGCCAGAACTGTGGCAAAGCAGCTGGCTGAAGGTTTCCCCTGCAGAAGGCAGGACAGTGGCAGGGAAGGAAGGAGACAGAAAGCAAAGGACAGATCAGCCGAGACAGAGTAAGGTGAGACCTCTGCGCAAAGGCAGACATTGTCAGGGATTTGCTTCCAATACAGCCAGGGTTGCAGGGTGAATCTATAGCACCGTGGCTGGTGGCGGGGGCGACGTCCCTGACAAGGTGGTGAGCTTTGGTGGCAGCAACAGAGGAGGCAATGGTCTGATGGCAGTGGGGCTGGGCTGAACAGGGGCCATAGGATCCCAGCTCCCTCTTCTGAGTTGGGTTAACTTTTCTAAACTGAACTGACATCCATCCTGGTCCAACAAGATGTCTCTTTTTCTCTAACATTCAGACAGCTCCAACCATCACAGCTTCACGATCCTGTCATCATCGTCACTGTCATCGTCATCACCATCATCACCTACATCATCAGTGGTTTTGCAGTGTGCCAGCCAAGCACCACTCATCCAGCTAGAGCCACGATACAGAGATAAAGTCGGGCTGTCCTAAGGGAACAGCTTGGCTGGCAAGTGGAGCGGGGGCAGATACGAGAACCCTCACCTCACCCCACCCCGAACCTGGAAGGGTTGTCTTTCGTGAGTTAAACTCTTAAAACCGCCACATCATGGGCCAGCCCTGCATCATTAATGGATCTCTCCTAAGAGTCACAGAGGCAAACCTGAGCCTTGGCAGCAGCCCAGGGAAGAAGTCATGGCCAAAGACCCAGAGTGTATGGGTGCCTCCGACTGGGCTCTCCTGCAGCTTTCCTGATGTCGTCCGTTCTGACTCCTTGTTCACAGGCTGCCCTCCTGCATAAGGTTTGGCTTCCATACAACTCTCCTGCAGAGAGAGAGCCCGCTGGTCAGGACAGGACAGTTCCAGGCTTTTGACAGTCATGGTGCTCAATGGCAATCCACTTTTTGTTCCATCACACACATATTCATTCAGCAAGTACTTCACTGGACATCTGCCACAGGCCAGGCATTATACACAGCAGTTACGTCCTGGGGCTTGCATCCCAGTGAGGGTGACAGACAAGAATCATAAAGTGCTGTAATGGCAGATTGTGAAAAGTGCCTGGAAGGTGAAGGAAGTAATCAGAGCACTATAGTGGAGATGGAGCAATACAATGGAGAGTGATGGGTCATAAAGGCCTCACGGAGGGTAACATTTCTCTTTTCAGCTGGCTTTGAACTTCTGGGCTCAAAGGATCCTCCTACCTCACCTCCCAAGTAAAGCATTTTCTTCTATGTATACCTTACATACGGTAAGGTGTACACATCTTTAGGGTGTAGCTTGGTGAGCTTTTACATTTATAAATGCCAGTTTCTTAACCTTTCTACTACAGATTACAGCCCAATAATTCCTTACTACAGGACGCGGTCCTGGGTATTATAGGGCATTTAACAGCATCCCTAGCTTCCACCTACAAGATGCCAGTGGCAATCTTCCCCACCCCATTGTGACAATTAAAACAACCTCTAGGTGGCCAGGCATGGTAGTGCATGCCTGTAATCCCAGCCTCCTGGGCTGAGACAGGAGGATCACAAGTTCAGGACTGGCAATTTAGTGAAACCTTGTCTCAAAATTTAAAAAAAAAATTTTTTTTTGTTTTTCTTCCGGTACCAGGAATCAAACTCACAACCTTGTGCTTGCCAGGCAGGTGCTTTTGCCACTGAGCTAAATCCCCAACCCCTAAAAAGATGGTATAGCTTAGTGATATAGCACTTGTCTAGCCTGAGAAAGCTCCTGCAGACCCTGCACTGCAAAAACAAACAAAAAATGCACATTGCCAAATGTTTCCTGGAAGGTGAAACTGTCCCTGCTGACAGCCCCTGTCTATGCCATGTCACCACTAATCAGCTCAAGATGCAGATTCTCATTTGTTGGCATTTGAGCTCTTTAAAGAATTAGGGGAACAGTTCACAGTGGAGGGAGCACAAATGAAGGCACTGAGGTGGGAGTAAGTTTGGTACATTTGAGGAATCACGTGGCTGATCTGTGGAGACAAGGGCAAGAATGGCATCTGAGGAGGTTAGAGACAGGCTCGAGCAGGGGCCTTGTGGGCTGTGGTTAGGAGTCTAACATTCCTGAGAATGTTCATTAGGCGCTCATAGGTATGTGGCATCGTGCCTGATACCAAAAGATGGAAGATAAATAAATTAAAGTATAGTCTCTAAAGAAAGATAGTAAAGTCTTCGAGACTATAGAAATAGATATATCTGTGAAAAGCTATGGCATGGGAATTGCATTGAATGACAAGAGTATGTACAAGACCCAGAGCCAACAGCCAGGCATGTGGTGGTACACGCCACACACCTGCAGTCCTAGCACTTGGGAGGCTGAGGCTGGAAGATTGAAAGTTCAATGCCTGAAGCCAGCCTGAAGTACATAGTGAAAGCTCCATTTAAAAAAAATAAAAAAATAAAAAAACAAAGTTGGCCCATTGGTGGACAAGCTTAAACTTGTCGGAGGGCTCCAGAAAAGCTTTCTTGAAGAGAGCACACCAGGTCTGAATCTTTGCTGAACAAAAATGAGCGGCACACCAGGCAGCACGTACAAAGGCATGGGGGTGTGAAACAATGTTAGGTTCTGGAGATTCTTAGTTAGGTGCCACAGAAAGTGCAGGAAAGGGGTGACTGACTCACAAGCCAACAGTCTGGCTGGGATAGAAGATTCCTATGGGACAAGTGGTTAAACTAAAGCAGATCTGGAGTACACAGAGGAAGTCTTCCAGAACAGCCCAGGGTAGAAGAACTCAGCTCCCTGAGCCTGGAAGAGTCTCCTAAAACACCCCCCTGCCGCCACTCCTCATCTCCAGCCCTGCCCCAACTCCATATATTTCATAAAATGGATCTTGGGTTTATTATCTGTAGCCTTGTTAATGTGTGCATGTGAATTGAGATTTAGATTTCCCAGGCTGAGATACACAGTCTCCTGTCCTAGTAGAGCATTCTTCAAATTAGCTCATGAGTCTTCCACTTACCAAAAGCCCAGCTCCACAGGGCTCAACATAGCAAGATCAGCACTTGTTCCTTAATGCCAGTCAAGAAGCCGAGCAGTGGTGAGGGGCAGGAAAGAGCCATGCTGAGGAGCACAGATAAAGAGATTCAGGAGCTGTGGGGCTTTCCACAAAAGGAGAACAAAGGCAAGAACTGGAGGTTTGCATAGCTGGTAGCTTTGCCTCACTGGCAGCATAGTGAATCCTGGTCCAGTTAATTCCAGTTGATCCAGTATCTCAGAGCTGGTTTTGCAAGATCCTGGGAGAGCCATCATCCCGAGAGGACAATTCATTTTCTCATGGAGGGATGAGAGCTTCTGCTTACAAGGGCACCCATTTGGGGTGTAACCCCATCAGGAGATAGTCTGAGAACCCCTGCTTTTCCTGGAATCCTCAATAACTGCAGGTCTAGGACAGTGACTGGAAAACCCTAGGTATCATTCCAGGGAAGAAAACAAAAGTATTTCCCACCTTCTTCCCTCCCCATGTATCCTGTGGAACTGGGCATTGTAAAAGCTGACAACTGAATGTCCCTAAGTTATGAAAATTATATTACTTACTCTTATCTTGGTGTCTGAGGAGGCTTGGTAAGTTTAGGGCTAATAAATGTTGTATTACAGATACACCTTAAGTGATTAAATGTCCATGAGCAGAGTACAGCAAGGATCTGTCCCATAGTTGTAAGGGAACAAAGGAGGCAGATATAAAGTGAAGGCAGAGATGCCTAGCTTCTTCCTGCTTTTAGTTCCCCATTGGGCATCTACAGGCCTAGGCTTGAGGTCCTGTCCGAGTGCCAGCCTTCCTCTTACAGTGCTGAACAGCAGCCAGGCCACAGGGAAGAGGCGGACCATAGGCCCTGTCCTCAAGATGACCCACAGAAAAGAACTTTGAGAATGAGTGAGTTTCCTAGAATTAGGTGAGGTACTATTCGGTCTGGGGACAATTTAACACATCCCTGGCTCTTCTGGGAGGAGTGAGCAGTGCAGGCTGCGTTGTACATATCGATCCTACAGTTGTCAACTCTGCATTCTGAGGACTCAGTCTTTAGATCCAAGTATCAAATCCTCTGTCTTCAGATGGAGAAAAAATGTCTCCTTGGGGATCCGCTTATCTGGCATCTCACAGGCAAGTACAGGAAGCTGGAAAGAAAACAGAATTTCCTCACCTGCTCCCCCACCCTTGTATCCTGGCAGGAGCAGGAGCGGTGGTGAGCTTGACTGCAGCGTTTCCTTTCCTGGCTGACCCGGGCCAGGGCAAGGAGCCTACCAGGAAGGTCACAGTCCACAGAGACCGGGAAACGCAGCTGGGCAGGAGAGTGAGGGGCCTGCATCCTAGACCTACCTCTGCCACCCGTGCCTTCACGACCTTGGTCAAGTCTCCCCCAGGCTCCTGCGGTCCCTCTTCCCCTTCAGGACATGGATTAGATGTCACCTGCTCAGGCCGCTCCCACGTGCTCATCCCATTGACCCCTGTTTGCTTCCCTTATAGCACCACATTTGTCACCGCACACATCTGTCCGCCTGTGTGTATGTGTGTGTTTAAGTACGGATGTACATATTTGTGTTTTTGCTTGCTTATTTGGTTTGTCTCCCCCATGAGAGTCTAGACTGTAGGCTCCAGCAGCTGGAGAGACTGTGTTTTTGACCCTGCATCCTCAGAGGCTAGTACAAGTGAATGAAGAAATTAATGAATGGCAACTGACCCACATTTACTCCCCGGTGCCTTCCAGATGAAAAGTTCTTGAGGCTAAGGTTTCTTCCTAGGAGAACCACGCCGGGGCCTGTCAGGAAGTCCCCTGCAGGGGGCAGGGCGGGATGGGGACTTCTGTGCCTCCCCCAGGATTCAGGCGACTGTGCGCTAGGATTAGCGCAGGTCCCAAGCTCTCTCCCGCCCCGCCTCCTGGCCGGCCAGCCGGGGGCGGAGCCAGGCCACCTCCAGCCCGGTGGCATTCTCGGCGTCCCCCGGCCTAGGAGGGCGACGGGGCGGGTCCCACGCGGGGCCGGGGGCGGGGCCAGCACACACACACCCCCGCCAGGCCCCCACCCCGCGGGTTCTGCACGTGGGGTCGGGACCGGCCGTCGCCTAGCAACGCCCGCCCCGCCCCCGCCAGTCAACGGCTCCCGCCCCCAGCATGGCCTGGCAGGGCTGGCCCGCGCCCGGGCTGTGGGTCTCCGGCTGCGGTCTGCTGCTCCTCGCCTTCATCCTGCTCCTGACCCCCCGCGGCTGCCGAGCGCGGCTGGGCCTCCGCGGTCTGCTCATGACGCGCAGCCGGCGGCTGCTCTTCCGAATCGGGTTAGTGCCCAGGCTCTGCCAGGTGGGCGCGCTGCCGGAGGGGACAGGGAGACGGGGACGGGGGCACTGGAGAGCAGGACTGGACTTGGGCATAGAGGTCTCGGAGCTGAGGGGTCGGGGAGACGCTGTAGCAGCTGCTGAGTTCGTGGGACTGAGGAAGCAAAGGAGCTGGAGGGCTGGAGAGTCCGGAATTCGGGAAGCTGGCCAAGGGGGACCGTGCACGAGCCGGCCCGTGCCGGTCAGAGTCCGGTCCCTGTTGGCAGTGCGGGGAGGAGGACGCCTCGGACCATTTCTCCGGCACGGAAACAGCCTTCCTTCCCCCGATCCCTGCCCGCCACCGTCCATCGCCCCTCTCCTCACCGCCTGGGTGGTTGTTCTGTCCCAAGCTGGAGTCCCCCGCCCTTTCCTTGTACCCCCTACCCTGGCACGCGAAGCCCCAGGCTGTGAAATCTGACCTAACAGCCTGACTCCCAGGTCATTGCCCCGCAAGGACTGTCCCAACAGACCCTCCTCTCCCTCTGCCCCTTCCTGCCCGGGCAACTCTCACACTGCCCTGCCAGACAGGGGGAGGCTTCTTCCTACTTCCAGAGGGGGCATGGGGCAGGACATCAAGCCCCAGTTTAGGGACAGTGATGTTGGAGCTGAGAATTGTGGGAGCCCTGGCCACAAGCCATGTTGCCAGAAGCGCCTAAGCCTGGGAATTTCCTGAGCTGCAGAGACCTTGTGCCATTCACCCACTCCTCCCTCCCAGACCACCCCAGGGCTCCCCAGAACTGCAGGCCTAGCACCCCACTCACACTCAGTCTGAGACCTAAAGAGTTTTTAAAAGCCTGCTGGGCTAAAGAAAGAATTTTAGACAATACTGCAACCAAGTTGCTATTGTTGTGCAAATAGCATTACAATAATTGGATTTTAAAATATATTAACATGTTCCTTTTTGGATGTCTTGTTTTGTTTTGTTTGGGACAGAGCCTTGCTGTGTAGTTCAAACTGGCCTTGAACTCATTATGTAGCTCAGGTTGGCCTCAAACTCAAGGCAATCCTCCTGCACCAGGCTCCAAAGTGCTGGGATTACAGACGTCCACCAGCAGACCTTGCCTGAAATTTTTAAGACAATATTTTTCTCACCAAATTTCTAGGAATTTTATAGCCCTATTTAGGGAGAGAGTTTTAAATTTACTTCTACTTCCAAAACTGATAAATTCAAAGTCAGAGAACTGGCCTGAGGAAGTGAAATATTGGAGTTTCCATGAGGAACTGGAATCAGAATTCCTGCAATCAGCATGCCCAAGGTCACTATGTCAGAATTGTGAGGGTTTGCGTATATGTCTACAACTTGGATCTGGGAGTTTCCATATCCCTGAACTTGGAAGTCTCAAGAGCTTCTTCAAAATTCAGTATTTCTTTAGTTTTTCCTTTGTCTGGATTTTAAGGTTGCTTTAGAATCAACTTCCCGAATTTGCAGAGCAGAGAGTACGCCTGGAATCAGAATTGCAGACCTGCCCCTCCACAGTCTAGGAAACAATGAGTCCAGTCCCTCGGGGGAGTGGCTGCTGACTGCTGTCGGGGAGAGGGGAGACCAGCAGGAAACTTGTGGAGAATGTGCAGGTGTTGATGCTGCGTAGGCCTCCAGGCCGGCAGGAAGGATGGAGCGGGAGGGGGAACACACAGACACCCCCAACCTGAAGGTGTGGCTGGGAGCGTCACCAATAGAGGCCTCTGTGGGGAGCAGGAAAGCAGACCCTGGAAACCTAAACAGCAGCTGGGAGAGGAGCCATTGTTCGTGTTACCATTAATAATGACGACAATTTGAGAAGAGAAGTGTTGGACAGTTTTAGAAAAGGCTTTCCTCAAACATCAGCGCTGTTGCTTTGGGATAGGAATAATTGGACCGAACCTCAGATGGATCTGGGCTAAGCTGAGGTTAGACACGTGCACTTGGGGCTTGTGTGCCAGCTAAGCACAGCAGCATGAGAAGCACAGGACAAATCAGCTTTTGCGTCCTGGCTCCGTGCATAGGAGCCATGTGACCTTGGACAGGCACCCTTTCTGTGCCTAGCTTGTTTGCATCTCTGATTGGGGGGTAGGGGGTTGGGGATATAGCTCAGTGGCGCAAACGCCTGCCTGGCAATCACAAGTCGTGAGTTTGATTCCCGGTACCAAAAAAAAAAGTCTACTGTTGAAATGGGGGTGGTGATTGTGCCCACCTCCCGGGGCTCCTGTGAGGACCCAGTGAAACTGTGCACATAGTGCCTGGGGCCTGGCTCGAAGTGTGTGCTCAGGAAGTGGTGGCAGTTGCTCGTGCTGTAGCCTGGGGTGGGCAGGAAAGAGGACATGTGTCATGGCCGGCTCCTGGAGCTTCCTTATGTACTTCATTCCTGTCTGCTGTGTCCACCACCCGGCAGTCTGCTGTGCCGACCACCCTGCAGAAAATGCCACATCCCTTCATGCACTCGGTACCCCCTGGCTGCCTTTAGTCAGGATTTAAGGGTCACAGACAGGAGCAGGACTAGGTCACTGTTCCCCAGGGGCAAGGGGAAGGCACATGTGAACAGATGTGAACTGTGATAGGAACAAGGCCCAGTAGGCTTCCAGGAGCGGCAAAGTACGCACACCGAAGGAGCCTGGAATGGGAGGGGGCCTCCTATGTGTGCCTCGTTTCCCTTTCGCCCCTTTGCCTTTTTGCTGTAGTAGAAAGGCTGACAGAACAGGGCCCTGAGGAGAGACTTTGACTGCACACTTCCCACCCCGTGGCTACCACCCAGCCTGGGCCAGCCTGGTCCTGCCTAGCCTGGCCTCCTAAACCAACTGATTCGGGATGCCTTTATAGCCCAAGTGTTCTCTAGAGCAGCCGGAATGGAGCTACTCAGATTTAAGTGAGAAACATGTCCCTTCTCCGCACAGACCGCTCCAGAGGATTCTAATCCCTCTCATGAAGTCAGACTCCTCTGCACCCGGCTCCCCTTCCCAGTCATACCAACCGTTCTGCTTTTTTTCAGACACCCTCTGATGGTCCTGCCTCCCTCTCTGTGCCTTTTATCACTTCCACTTCTTCCCCCTTAGGGGCCTCCCCCGCTCTTGCTGCCTGTATGCAAACAGCAGGGTGCCCACCTCTGCACCCTCTGTCCCCTCCCCCACTTTATTATTCTCCGTAGTCCACACACCATGCCACAAACTGTATCTACTGGCCTCTCTGTCTATTGTTTTTCTCCTCCACCCACAATATGGTCACACAAGGGAAGAAACTGTTTGCTACTCTATCCTGGCTTCTAGAACAATGCCTGGTACCTGCTTGGGCCTTAAATATTTTTAAATGCCTGAATGTCTTGGCCCAAGTGCCAGGCCCTCCATGAAGCCAGCCCAACCCAGTCCCAGTTCATCTCTACCTCCACACAGGCCCTGCCACCGCCTTCTGGCTTAGCGCCTTCAGCGTGTCTCCTTGCCTGTCCCAGGCTCAGCTAGACACGGTCTGGCTCCCTGGTAACTCCCCCAGACCTGGCCCAGGGAGCTGGGTGGAATCAAGAGCGCCTGGCACCAGGTGGAGGGAGAGAAGGGGAAAGCCAAAAGAAACAAACCAGAACCAACACAGATCCCAGGCTCTGGCTGGACAGGTGGCCTAGGAGGACAGAAATCAGCCCAGGCCTTTGGGCTAGGACTACCGAGCTCAGTGGAGGGTGAGCCAGCTGGGCTCTGAATACCCTCCAAGTCCTGCCTGAGAGCCTGCAGACGCTCCTGCCTCTGTGCACACGGGCATCCTGTGAAGAGGGCTGTGCCATCCGAGGAGGAGCTAGCTGTCCTGGAGCAGGCATGCAACGCAGGCCTCCTGTGCAGCGGCCTCCAGTGGCATGGGGAAGTGACCCCCATCCCCCACTACCCCTCCCCAGTGCTGGCAGCTGCAGGAAGCCCTCTCCCCAGAGCCTGTCCAGTTTTCTCTTTGAAGGAAGCTGCTACCTGTTGCTAAGGGGCCCAAGCAGACACGGGCTCTGTTAAGAACCCTGTGTTCCAGTGGCCCTCCAGGTCCCTCAGCCCACAAACAGCCCATTCCAGATTCAGTGTGATAAACAGTGCCCTGTCTCTGTTGGATGCAGAGCCTGGGCGAGCTGGGTCCTGGCCGGGAGCTCCCCCGACCGGTGGCTCACCCACCTGGGCTTGCTTATTGGGTCACAGTGGAGTCTGCTGCCCACCCCCTCCCTGGTCAGGGCCAGAAGGGAGGAAGGCAGGGAGGTGACCCTGCAAAGGGGCCTCTCAGGTCCTTCTGTTGGAGGCAGAGCCTCCTTTATGCTGCTCCCCTCCTGCCCCTGGCCTAGCTGGGCCAGACCCTTGGAAGCCCTCGGGCCTTTCTCAGGGCTTCTCACGTGGGAAAATGGCCAAGGGAGGAGGGGAGGAAGAAGAGCGCCTTTGTGTGTTTTCTGCTCTGTGTCAGAGGGCGGGCGGGGGCTGTGTCTCGCCATCCCCAGCTGTCCTACATGGCCACAGACACCAGAGAAGCCGCACGCTGGCTGTGGCTCAGTGAGGCAAGGAATGAGGGTGCGCTGTGACACCACAGTGGGGCCGGAC